TTGATTAAAACATTTTTTCGTATAATCAATTAATGAGGAGGTATGAATTTTTTTCTGCTGGACTGAGAAAAAAATAAAAAACCGCGATGAGGAGGATCTTCCTATTAAAATTAAGAGCCCATACTGGGTGAGTACTTTCTAAAGGTGCCTAGCAACAAGTTTTTGTGTGTCAGATCCAAAAAAAAAATAAAAGTTTTTTTTTTGATCCACCCTAATATATATATATATATATACACGATAGTTATGATTTATTTTTTATAAACGTAAAGATTAATAAAGTCACGTAAGTATTTGAACACATAGAAGTAAGGTCAAAAATGAATGAAAACAAAGTTTTCCTGGAATTAATTGTAAACATTGATTGTCGTTAGTTGTCGTCTTATGTACATTGTTCAGTCACAGTCCAGTATTCATGATGAAATATTACGATATTGATCATGTATCCGAAAAGATCTGAAATTTCTGAAATTAAGAGAATATTAATTGTCAAATAACGCAAAGAGAATGAAAAACAATATACGCGATGAAATAAGTTAATTATTAAATATAAATAGATCTATAATACATTACATTATTAAAAAATCGAAATCAGAAGGATTTGTAAAAAATAAATATCGTTCAGGTCGACCAATGAAATTAACGTAACGAGAAGACAGAGCTTTGATCATCCATGTGAAATAAAAAGAAAACAAATTCAAAGATTACTGCTACAAAATTTGGCAAAAATAATTAACCAGAATTTCAAGAAATTATATTTAAAATTATGTAAAAGAGTGCTATGTAAAAATGGTTATCTGTTCAAATACTTTTGTGACTTCAACAATGTTTACATTTGTAAGAAATAAATCATAACTATATTGTATAAATATATATTTGCTTGAAATTTTATTTATATAATCTAGAGAGTCATACCTTCATCCAATTTTAATAATATGTCGATACATAAATGTTGTATAATATATTTATTATAAATTATAAAATATTTCTCATGGTAAGTGTTTCATTACTTTCGTGTGTGCGAGTCACTGTATATATATTATATATTATATATATATAATTTATTACATTATTATAATTATATATAAAGAATACTTACCATTATGAAAGGTACTGCTTCCAAAAACTTTTTCACCCTCGGATTGTTGCTTGTCTCGCATCTTAATTTACCACCGTGACCTTCCCAAAGAACCTGCTGCAATTTTTTGATGTCTCGATTATGTATCCATATTCTTATATTGGAAGGTTTGAAGTCAAAGCCTGGATAGAAAAATAATAAAATAAATATAATTCATTTCGATACAATGTGTCATGGGGACTACGATGAGTTTTAACATTTTTATTACTACATATCATTTCTATTTTACTCATTGTCAATCAACGTTCTATTCATTTTTTTTCTTTAGACCCACGTTAGATCGATAAAGTATGAAATATGAATGGTGGGATTCCCCTCGTATCGACGAAATAAATATTCCTTAACTTGTAAGATTCTTTTTTCTGTGAAATCTTTACAAAATCAAATGAATAAGTGTTCTTTTTTTTCAACAATGTTAATCCATTAATAATATTAATTTCGGAAAAAGAAAATTGATCCTATCGAGCACGTAAAAAAACAATTATATTTTAATGAATTAAAAAAGTAAATTTCAAATAACAAAATAAAAGAGTACGTGAGATATTAATTGTAGAAAATTCTGAAAATAAAACATTATATAAATATAAACGAAGCAACCAAACGAAATTACTTGGAAATGTCGAGTGAGTACTGACCTCCTTTCATACAATAGACACATGGACACATTCTGTTAAGTATTTATGAACGTTAGAACGTACAATGTTTCCAGTTGCGTGCTTTGCAAACTTGTTAATTATTTAAGTAAGTAGGAAAATACACAAAAATGCTTAACGAAACTAATATCAAGAGATTGATCAAATCATTGGAATGATGTATTGATTCTTACTTTAAAAACAAGGGGTTTGGGGAGTTAAAAGGAAGGGTGTGGTAAATAGGGTTGGTAAACAGGGATGGTAAATAAGTATCATATCTAATCTATTCAAATGTAGGCTAACGATCTATAGAAATCCATAACTATCATTTTATCTTTTCAATCTATTTATAAATATCGACATATGAATTAAGTTGGTGCTAAAATAATGGCCGTTTCCAAAATGGATTCCATATTCGGAAATGGCAATTATTTATGCACTAACCTATTATATTATTTGTTACCGTGAAAGACCGAAATTGGGGAATGTCGAGATTCACGTGATCGATTGTCAACACACACCGAATACTTTGGTGAAAGATCGAATATTTGGGCTTTATTTTTATATATTGTGTGTGTGTGTGTGTGTGTGATATTTCGGACATACACCAAGCGACCATCTGAATCTTGACATTGTTCAATTTCGGTCTTTCACTGTAACATATTGTAATATATTTTCTACTTAAATTTTGTCCTACTAAGTTTTATCTACTAATGTTTATATTTCCTACGTCGATGCACGAATAGCGTGTTTCATTCTGATCTAATTAATATTTCAAGAAACAGGGCAGTGCACGGTCCTCGTGCATATCGTTCACTGATATTTAGAAGTAACTTTACTAGGTGTCACTCACTCTTTTTACTTATTATAAGAAATTTAAATTATCCGTGTAAATGTTTATTGGTATTTTATAAACCGTCCGAGTTCTTCTATCATTGATAAACAGTGAGTTCCAGGAATGTACTCATATTCCCAACTATCAATTTAAAACATTCAACATGTTTTCAAATTTCTATACACAAAAATATATTTTAGGATTATTCAATTTTATTATAAGATAAACAAAATTTGACATAACTGACAATGAGTTAAGATACAATTGGTCTCATAAAATATGATCAATCATTTCAAATGCATTATAACATTGATTGGAGAACCAAATTTGTTATTTACAGAAATATTATTGTATTTTTATTATATCTAACGCAAAGGCCAATATTTTTATGAGAACAATTTTGTTATCATTTATTAAAAATTATATTTCTCTCTTAAACAATAAAATATATTATTTATTTTTCTTAATAATCCTGAAACAGTTTCCTGTGTATAAGAATTTTTAAAGTTTGCATATTACAAGTATATTAATTAATTATTTATAATTTACAATAATGATACTACTGTGACTCATTGCACTTCTAATCTACGTACATGTATATTTAATTTATCATAAAATTTCATTGAATTGAAAATACATATTAAATGATTTGTTAAATAAAATTTATGAGGTTGAAAAAGATAAAAAATAAAATATAGGTACTCGGTGAATAATTGTTGTATATCAACGCGAGAAATAGCTGAGAAATCGAATTTACTAAAATTTGACACGTCGCTAATATTTAAAACATTTTGGATTCTAAATACAAAAATATGGTCTTTTGTTTGCCATTGAAAAAACGAAATTATGAAATAGTATTTGTAATCCCATTGTCTCAATTTAAAACAATAAATATTTTCTTGTAATACAATATTTCTAAATTCTTAAAGAAAGAAACATATTTTAGAATTATTAAACTTGTAAATTGATATAAATTGTAATGCATGGTAAAGGAAATAAAATTGTATAAAACTGATCAGAAAATTAACCTCAAAATATGTCCAATTGTCTCAAAAGAATTAAAAGATGCAAAAAGAAGGACCAACAATGTACACACAAATGAGAAAAATAATCATTGTATTTTTTGTATATCTTGTATAAGTACGAATACTTTTGTGAAACTAATTTTCTTATCATTTATATAAAATTATATACTTATTTAAAAATAAAATATTATTCTGCTATCAAATTGATATCAATTAAAAAATTAATTAATCCATAAATATGTTCCTGTATAAAAGAATTTTGAAGCTATACATTAGAAACAGGTATCAATTATTTAAATTTTACAGTGGGTACGAATATTTCGGTGACTAACTGTATATTCTAACTAAGAAAAATAAATTCAAAAAATTTAATATCTGATGATTAAAAGTTTTCATTAAATCAAAATAAAAACAACGACGTATTTATAATTACACGAAACATTCAATCCTTAAATATATTCCTGTATAAAAGAAATTTCAAGCTATAGATTAGAAGCAGGTATCAATTATTTAAATTTTGCAGTGGGTACAAATATTTCTGTGACTAACTGTATATTCTAACTAACAACAATAAATACAAATAAAATCTAATATCTAATGATCACAAATTTTCGTTAAATCGAATGAAAAAAAAAAAAAACGATGCATTATTTATAATTACACGAAACATTGAATCTTTTTTTTCGTTTCTACCCATGATACATACATATATCGTTAATATACGTCCTAGAAAACAATTATCTTACGAATTTATACTTAATCGATCTTCCGATGGTCGTTACTCATTAAACATAGGCATACGTGGTAGATACTATTTCGTGGGAACGAAAATTTGCGATTCTCTTGTCGCATATGTATAACCAAGTTATATCCCTCAAGGTTATCAACAAATTATTCAATCTGATTAACGATAAACCATTAACGTTTACTAACGACAAATAAATATTTAGCAAAAAAGAGAATAAATTATATTAAAATTCAAAACTATACGTGCTCACCTTCTTTCGTAGTGCTGAATTTTCTATTAGACATTTTCTCCGTTTCGGCTAATTCAACATCAGAACTGTGTTCCAAATAATAAGCAGCCGGATTTCCACGTTTGTCGCAAACACTGGCGTCGCAGCCACCCTCTATCAAAATGTCCCACACCGTGCCAGGATTTTTACACGCAGCGCAATAATGTAAAGCAGTTCTACCTTCCTAAAAAAAAAAGAAGAAAAAAAAAGAAGAAGAAGAAAAAACTGACAATGTGTATTTAATTATATACACAAATATACGAATAAACGAATTCCCTTTGGATTGTCCCTTTCATACAAAATGAAAACAAAAAAACAATATATGGACCGTTTATTTTGAAAGTGGTGTAAGTCCATTTGCAGCCCGCAAGTATACAATAGTTTAGTAAAATACGCCTAAACAAAATTTATATAATCAAATTACATATTGATAAAACAGTAGAAACATTGCCAGACTTCAAATAATTTGCTTAAATTTTTAAATTAACCAATATGCAAACCTTTAATTATTTCGAAACAACAGAAAATGGACTTACACCACTTTCAAAATAAACGGTCCATATAATAATAACCAACGTAATCCAGGTACTTAAATACAAGAGTACGTACACTTATTATTTTTATTTTATATTATTAGTTTGTAATAATTGATAAAAAAAAAAAGAAAAAGAGAACCTGTGAAATGAAGAAAATAGTTTAACCTTAAAGAATGGTAACAACTATCGAGGGTGAGACGATGCGCGTCGAACTGACACAAGAAATCAAATGACTAGGGTAGAAAACAGGTGGTTTATACCTTTCCAATATTATTTCTGTCACGCGATGAAGGAAGAACTATAATATAAATTACGTATGTCTAGAACGCCAACGGGGGAAGGGGGAGGGGAGGGGATCTTTCCCCAATATTCGATTTTTTTCATCGGAACAATTGATATTTTTTCCATGAATATTCCAAGAGAATAGTTTAAGATATACTTCGATCGGGTAATAGGGAAACCTACCCTACTATAATTTTATAATTGTACGTTCTTCTTTTGAAAGTTCATTAAACTTCATTCGCGATAACTCACTTTGTCCTTTTGTTGTGTCGTAATTGGATAATTATGTACAAGCCATGATACTATTTCTGGTTGATCGTAATAAACCGCTTTATGAATGAGCGGTATCCCAGAAGGATCTTTAGCTATGGCTAATTTTTTCTTTGGTTCTTCCGTTATGATCCTTTGTGTTTCTAACAATGAACCTCGCGTAACCGTGTCGTGTGCTTGAGATATCTTCGTCTATCAAAAAAAATATAATTATTCAAATATATTTATTATTTCAAATTCTTATTGAAAAATGAATTTTTGTATATCTGACAATATTGAAAATAGATGAAATATATTAAATACCAGATAATTCGGTAGTCCTTTAAGGAAGACACGGGTTCTAAGATCCGGCGAATGTTCACCCAATAAACGTGCGCCACGTCCCTCCAATACGATATTTTCAAGTTTTTCCAGCTCCCCGCGCAACAACCAATTTTTCAAAGTCGTCGGATTCATTTGTAAATTTCTGCAAAACTATTTAACAATTGACAATCTGATTATACGAATAAAATTCTACGATTTAGTAATAATCTCAATTGATTTTCATTTTTTTCTTTAAGTGACTATACACACAAACACACACACGTACTCGTATACAATGAAACAAACACCACTAGGACGCTACATCGAAGTTAACTTCCTTTTTTTTCTTGTTGTTTTTTATTTCACAATGTAAATTACGTTACTCGTTTAATTTAAATAACCACGTTTAATTTTTCCCCCTTACTATTTTTCTTTTTCTTTAATATCGATAATACTTAAAAACTAAACGATTTTAATGACGACACCAGCAGCAGAACATACGGGGTATATGTGAACGACTGCCGGATACGTTGCGTACTTTCCTACCTGTCCTCCTACTCTTTACCTTCTGGTGCCTTCTATTATTCACGAGGGACTATATTTACAGAATAGAACCTATACTGCTAAGATATGTCATTCTAGAGCAAAGAAAAACAATAAGATTCTTAGATCAATGATGCTTGATCAAAAACGTTTCTTTAATATTACAAGTGAAACACGATATTTGAATCAATTTATTATTAGACCTATTTTTGCAATGATTCGATAAAATAAATTTATAATATCTTAGGAATATCTTGCAGATAACATTATTCGAAATCGAATTTTTAATCAACTGCACGATGAAACATTGTAAAGAAAAAAAAAAGAAGAAGAAAAATTGATCATTAAATAAAATTATTTAAATAAATGTTCCTTAATACTTATAATATTCTCATAACAAAAAAATTCTCAAATATATATTATTATTTATAAGAGTGATTTTATCCAATTAATTATTAAAAAGATTGTTTAGATATGTTCCTTCTCGATCATTAATATTTAATATTAATGATTCAAACGTTACTCTCATTAATATTACACTTTCATACACTTTCATATACTTTCAACAACATTAGCAAAGTTTTTAATTGCAATTGTCGTTCAAAAATCATGGCGTCTTAGTTAAACAAATGCAAATCTTACATCGAAAATAGTATTCACCAGCCGGCAAGATATTTTTTACTAATTTTTGACATAAAAAAAAAAAAGACTATATTATATCTCTCAGTTTTAGAAAATATTTATCTTTTGAAGTATCTAGGATATTTGAAAAATATTGTTTTATATGAAAATGGTGCACGATAAAAAAATGAACTTTCTAATTTTCAATGTAAAATTTCGCATAAAAATGTTCATTAAAAGAAAACTTTACTTTGTCACGAAACTAATCTTGCGTACTTCGATTGATAATACATTTACGTAACTTTTGTATAAATTTTAAGTAAATCGGTTATAAATTATGGCCATGAATTTGTCGGCCATTTTACAAAATGGTAGTTTTTCTTCTTAGATTTTGTAACTTTTAAATTTTCACATAGCACTAGGCAAGAATACTTGAAATAAGTATTTCAGAATTTATCACCTCTATGAAATTTCTTTCATCGTATTTTAAAACTCTGAGAAACATTTTAAGTTAAAAACAATTTGAATTTTTTGAAAATTTTTTAATGGTCATAACCCTTAAATATTTGTTCTTAAATTACAAAAAATACATTTTATATTTCGTAAAAAACATTTACGAATAGAGGACACTTTGTTCACGTATATTCCTTTCTTGTTTAATATGAATTGTAAGAAAATTAAAGAAAATAAAAACACATTCGAACAAATTAAATAAAATAGAATCATTATCTAATAATAGAGTTACATTATTTTTTTACTAATACAATTTTAATGCAAAATATTTCAATAAATGTTCAGAAAAATATATTTTAATAATTGTAACACACAAGTTTCACTTACGAATATAATTAAATAATATCAATTTAAAATGTTGCATTCTTTGATTATAAACACTCAATTTGAGATGTATTAATTTTTAATCGAGAAATACTTTTTTATGGTGATACATATATTATTTGATTCTTATTTATGTTATACAAAATTTGAGAACCCCTGTCTCATCGTAATGAGACAATAATCGAAGATACATTTCTTATATATTATAACAATAACAATAACAATATTATTATAAATATAATATTGTTAACGTAAGAAACTTCATTCCCATATATTTCTATTAAAACGACCCTAAGATGCATATTCGAATGAATCATAGATTATTGAAAGGTGTAAAATCATGCGCAAATAAAATGACCGTTGATCAATACAAGAGATACTAATCGTATGGGGGAATCCTTGGGTTGACCGATCGATTTTCTGTCTCTCTTATTCACTTGCTATAGCTTATGTATGTGTTTCATATATATATTTTAACATACGCCATTCAAAATAAATGATATTTTTAGGTAGCAGTCAAATGAACGTGTAGGTGTGCAACTTTACTTCCGCCATTTTCCTGCAGATGGCTTTAGCGGTAAATATAAAATAAATATTAGGAAGTACCAAAGAATACAGAAGTATATACCATAGAAGCTCACAAGTCAACTTTCGCGTAACCAAAATCATGTTAGTTAGTACCCTGACCACCAGTGGGCGAAAGTAGATACTAACGCAGGGCTTCTTAAACTATGGGTCGCGACCCCGAATGGGGTCGCGTAGCAAAATTCTGGGGTCGCGAGAGATTTTAATGTCAAATATTTATATATACCATTTTATAACATCACTAGAGTTGGCGGAATACAGTGAACTTGCAGCGTCTAGACACGTGCATTTGTTGAAGGTTTTGAGCTATCTCCACCGACAGCAGTAATATTTGTATGGGGTCGTCAAGAAACTCGCAATCATAAATGGGGTCGTCAAGAAACTCGCAATCATAAATGGGGTCGTCAAGAAACTCGCAATCATAAATGGGGTCGTGAATGACAAAAGTTTAAGAAGCCCTGTACTAATGTAATAATTGTGCAACAAAATACAGTATTTTTTATAGAGTATGTTAGAATATGATAGAATAAAATAGCATATGATATATTCTTTGATAGTATATATATATATATATATATATAATAGTATAATTATATTGTAATCAAATTTTAAATAATTATATTTAATTTTTAATGTATAAACATGTGTGTTCCTTCAGAAAAATGCATTTATACATG